TGAACATAGGGGTGCATAAGTTCTTTGTGATTGGTGTTTCGGGTTCCTTAGGATATATTCCTAGAAGTGGGATCACTGGGTCAAATGGCAGGTCAATTTTTAATCTTTTGAGGAACCTCCATACTGCTTTCCATAGTGGCTGCCCCAGTCTGCATTTCCACCAGCAGTGTGCTAGGGTGCCCTTTTCTTCACAACCTCGCCAGCAATTGTAGTTTGTTGATTTGTTGATGGAGCCATTATGACAGGTGTGAAGTGATACCTCATTGTGGTTTTAATTTCCATCTCTCTGATGATTAGCGAAATTGGGGATTTTTTCATATGTCTCTTAGCCATTTGTATGTCCTCTTTGGAGAAGTGTCTACTTAGGTCCTTTGCCCATTTTTTAATTGGATTGTTTGTATTCCTTTGGTTAAGTTGTATGAGTTCCTTATATATTTTGGATATTAACCCTTTATCAGATGTGTCATTGGCAAATATGTTCTCCCATACAGTGGGCTCCCTTTTCGTTTTGTTGGTGGTTTCTTTTGCTGTGCAGAAGCTTTTTATTTTGATGCAGTTCCATTTGTTTATTTTCTCCTTAGTTTCTCAGCAAACATATTGCTATGAGAGATGTCTGAGATTTTGCTGCCTATGTTTTCCTCTAGGATTTTTATGGTTTCATGTCTTACATTTAAGTGTTTTATCCATTTTGAATTTACTTTTGTGTATGGTGTAAGTTGGTGGTCAGGTCTCACTTTTTTGCATGTATCTGTCCAATTTTCCCAAGGCCATTTATTGAAAAGACTGTCTTTACTTCATTTGGACATTCTTGCCTCCTTTGTCAAATATTAATTGACCATAATTGCATGGGTCAATTTCTGAGTTCTCCGTTCTGGTCCACTGATAGATATGTCTGTTCTTGTGCCAGACATTTTAAAAGTGGATATGTTACATTTTAAAAGTTACATTTTAAAAGTGGATATTTTGTGGTTTTAAGTCCATATGTTATGGCAGTAAGAGAAAAACACTTTTAAAAAGTATTTTTATCTTATTGAAATTCTCAGACTGTGCTTTGGTCTTCTCCACTAAACTATAAGCTCCTCTAAGTAGGAACCCTGATCTATTCCTCACTGTAGGCCAGCACCCAGCTCAGTGCGTGGGTATTTTAAAGTAACCTTCCACCAGTACATAGAACCAAAGATCCAACCTGTGAGGTAGGGGTTAAGGGGGTGCGGGGGTGGGAGGAGTGGATGAGGAATTGGGCCTGTTTTAATAGATCTGACAGGTTGTGGTTCTCCACTTAAGCTGATGGCTCAAGACTTGCTTTGGTGTGGTTGACAGTTTCGCTTTGCCAGCAGAAGTTTGTCACTTTAAGATGAAAACCAGGAAGTTCCCAGTGGGTGCGGGGCGACGGAGATAGAAGGCCCAGCTCCAGAGAATGTTCCAGAGTGCGGCTGAAAGACACAAAAGTGGCAGGATTCCTTTTTTTCTGCCCAAAGCGGGTTCCGCCCACCTATGCTCCTCCGAGGCCGAGCGTTGGCTGAAAGCGTCGCCGCGCCACGGCCCCGCCCCACCGGCTGTTGCTGTGATTAGCGCTTTGTTGCTTTAGGGGTCTTCCCAAGCAGTCAAAAGCGCAGAGCAGTTTAGGGATTGCAGCTGACAGATCGGACGGCAGCCAGGTGCTGTAGGAAAGGTCGTGAGATCGGGTCTGACAGCAGAGTCTCAGCTCTGGGCCTCAGCTTGGAGGCACAGGGCTCCCCTCTCCCTCGCGTGCAGTGAGTCCATATAGCTAAAAGGACACCAGAATCTGGCCTCCCCAAGGACACCTGTTGCAGGATTTCTTTGGATGTCTCAGCCAAGGTCTTTTCTTGAAAGGTGTCAACTGATGTGTGCTTTCTGTCTTTTGTCATCCATTCTTCAGGACAGATTGGGTAGACCTAGCCCTGTGAAGATCTGGAAACCATGACCAACAAAAGAATTGCCGTGATCGGAGGAGGTGTGAGCGGGCTGACCTCTATCAAGTGCTGCCTAGATGAAGGCTTGGAGCCTGTCTGCTTTGAAAGGACTGATGACATCGGAGGGCTCTGGAGGTTCCAGGTAAATCTCCTGGTTAATACTACTTTTGGAACCCTCACTGTAAGTAGGTGCATGAGACATTATATATCAGATACTTTATCTTGTGTCAGGAAATATGATGGACTTGACAGTGATTAAAGCTGCTAGAATTTGGCCTGCTGACCTCTTCTTAGCAGCCATCACGTCTGTATAGGTCCCTCTTTCCCTAGGCGGACAGCAGAATGGAATACAGGTATCATTTGTTTTTCCTTTATTGGTGTCCAGGAAAATAGAGCAGAGATCATTTTCATTATTGAGTTTTGCTGCTATCCAGAAGAGGGTTACACTTGGTGGTGTGAGGCGGAAACAAAATAACAAACAGAAACTGTAAAGTCGTTAGAAAACTTAGAGTGTTTGCTCCTGGTCCAAATTAATAGGTAAGTGCCATAGATTATCTGCTTACAACTGCTTCCAGGGATTCCCTCTTTAATCTTATCTGCCACCTTCTTTCCTTTGAGCTTTTACATCACTTGAGAAATCAACTCAGTAGTTCAAAGCCCTGTCTGCAAAAGAAGGCAGAGGACACCTGCAACTGGATTTTCTTGACTTTGCAAATACTGTTTCAAAATCAAGTTGCTTTAATATACATACCCAGCCCTGTAACTTGTTCCTAACAGTTAAGGTATCACCTACGTAAATGATTGATAGTTAAGGTTATTATAAGCCAAAGAGTATTAACCTCCTTTCCTGATATCAAAGTGACATGCACTGGTTTTGCTTTTAAACTCACTTTGTAAACCAGTGAATGGTATTGGGGTATCCAAATGTGTTTCATATTTCCTAAAAACTAACAGTGTTGACCAGCTACTTAAAAGTGGCTTCATAGCATTCCTTAGTTGAAGAGCAGAACAGTCCTTTTGCATCTTGGCTCTCTCTTTGGGGACTAACTCTGTTTAACAACAGTCCTTATTTAGTTCATGGGTAGATACCCCTTAGCAACACCCCCCCCCCCACCTCTGTCATAATCAGTCTTGGGCATGAGCTGAAAAGGCTGTTAATTAGTATTTAGTAATCAACAGAAAATTCTATTTTTGAAATCCAGCCACAGCTTAATGTAGAGGTTAACAGCAGTCTTGATTCAAATCCTGTGTCTGCATCATTCAGCAGTGTGATATTGGAGAAAATCAGTAAACCTCTCTGTACCTCTATTTCTTCATCTTTAAGAAGGAAGTAGTAATAGTACACATGTCATAGAGTTATTGTGGGGATTGAGTGCATGAATAATTGTGTCTTTCATTAATAATATATGACACGGTGCCAGTTGCACAGTAAGTGCTACGTGTCGGTTATTACCGAGTAGGCCTGGAGTGGGTTCCACACAACCTTACCAGGTTCAGCAGCTACTGGCCAGGTGTGAAATCACCATCCCAGGGTCCATCGTCCAGCCTGATTATCAGGCGCCTGACTTTTCGCTCCAAAGTGGTTTAACCTATTCTCTGTTAAAGACCTAAGTTGGAGATTTTTCTGATTATACTCTTGGTAAAATTTCAAGACTTTATCAACTACGTCCTTGAAAATAAACAAGCTCTATTTCTTCATAACTCTCTGACTTATGTTCAGACCACATCTGCATCTATTGTATGTCATACAGAAGTATATGTCAGAAATATCTATTCTTTTCGGACAGGTCCCAGGGGTTCAGTATCTATTCTTTTTTCTTTTTTTAATATATCTTTATTGATTTCAGAGAGAGGAAGTGAAAGAGAGAGAGAGATAGATACATCAATGACGAGAGAGTCATTGATCAGCTGCCTCCTGCATGCCCCCAACTGGGAATCGAGCCCGCAACCCAGGCATGTGCCCTGACTGGGAATCAAACCTTGATCTCTAGGATCGTAGGTCGATGCTCAACCTCTGAGCCTTGCGGGCCAGGCTTCAATGTGTATTTTTTCTTCTCAAATACCATCACTTGCATTTTCTTTTCTCTATTCCTCTTTCTCTATTCCATCTGCCAAACAGGAGTAGGGTTGACCGCTTGCTTCCTTCTTGTTATTGCTGAAACTTTACAGTAATAATACTCCCTCCTTACCCACTGCCAATACATTTAAGGATCCCCAGTGGTGCCTGAAACCATGGATAGTACGAAGCCCTATATATATTATGTTTTTTCCTATACATATATACCTATGATAAAATTCAATTTATAAATTAGGCACAGAAGAGATTAACAACTATAAGAATAAAGTAGAACAATTATACTGTAAAAAAATTATACAAATGTGGTCCCTCTTTCAAAATACCTTATTGTATTGTACTTAACTTTACACATAAAAAAAAATCACTTTACGGCTTCTCTTTGACATATTGGAATTGCCAACATCACTACTCTTGCACGTTGGGGCCATTAATAAGAAAAATAGGGTTCCTTGAACACAAGCACTGTGATACTGCTGACAGTCCATCTGACAACCAGGATGGCTACAAGTGATAACTTGCAGGGAACATATACAGCATGGATATGCTAGAATAGGGGATGATTCATGCCATGGGCATGTCAGAGGACAGAATGAGATTTCATCATGCTACTCAGAACGACCCAAAATTTAAAACGTAGAAATTGTTTATTTCTGGAATTTACTATTTAATATTTTCAGACTGCAGTTGACCTTGAATAACTAAAACCACAGAAAGCAGGTAAGGGGGAACTACTATATATACAAATTCTCAAAATATTAATTTCAATCTATTCTTGATCTCGTCACTAATGTTAGGTAAGTAAGACTGATGGTGGGAAAGTACATTCTACTAACTTACACTTTCTCCAGCATAAGTTCCAATTTCATCCCATTTTTGCTAACACTGAGTAATCTTTTAAATTAGTAAAAATGAGGTAAAATGGGGATATATACTGGAAGAATCTAAGTTGGTACAATGATTCCTGAAGAGCAAGCTCCTAAGTATATGAAAACCCTTGAAACTTACCTTGGCTTTGAAATATATAAAATAGTTAAGACCATTATTCAAACGGGCAGTTCTCACTTGGAATTTCAGGTCATTGCAATCAGCTCGCAACTGAGACTGAACATCTGCTATGGTTTCTTTGCTCACATGTTTAGAACTTCATGTGGGATAACTAGAATTTCTGGGAGCTGACTGCATATCTATCTCATACATTCTGTTCATGTAATTAGCTTGGGCTTCCTCACAGTGTGGTAGTCTCAGAGTAGTTGGACTTTCTGCATGGCTGCTAACTTCCACAAGAGCAAGCTTTCTAAGAGACCTAGAAACACAAGACCGTTCTTGTGGCTGCCAGGCTACTTAGGACAGTTTTGGAAGCCATTCAGTATCATTCCAACTGCATGTTGTTGGCCACAAGCAAGTCACAAAGACAGCTCAGATTCAAGGGGAAGAGACTACATAAGGGCGCAAATACTGGGAGATGTGTGTGTGGGGGGGGGGGTAACATTTTTTTAAATGGCATTTCTTTCAGAAAGCTTTTTGAAGTGTTTATTGGCTGTTTATAAACCATGAAGTTAATTCACAAGTGGCTTTGAATGCTTCTTATTTCCTGCAGGCAAATCCTGAAGAAGGAAGAGCCAGTATTTACAAATCAGTGATCATCAACACTTCTAAGGAGATGATGTGCTTCAGTGACTATCCCATCCCAGAGCATTTTCCTAACTTCATGCACAACTCCCAGGTCCTGGAGTATTTCAGGATGTATGCCAAAGAATTTGACCTTCTAAAGTATATCCGACTGAAGGTAGGGAATTTTGTGGGTATCTTTGTGTTTGAAGTTGTTTGTCAAATAAATGAATAATGTGACTTCATTTACCAGTGCTTACATGTAAATACTGGTTTGATAGAACATGTATCTATCCTTTCTAGACAGAGACTTCACTCTTTGTCTTGTCTGTTCCTAAAAAATATTCACAGAAAAGCTCTTTTATATGTTTTTGACTACAGCTCCAGGAAGCCACCTGCCAGAATGTTTTCATTGCCTTCATTTTATAGTATTTGATTGCAATGAAACAAATGAAGGGGAATGTCTTCCCAGTGAGAGAGGGGAACTGACAGGTATGGGAAGTTTAAAACCCTCCGGTTCCACAACTTGTCCACTAGTGCTTAGCCCTTTCATGCTTTCTGAAGTATTTTCCAATGCATTATTTTATGTGATCACAACAAGCCAGGGAAGCAGTTATTGGGAAGTTGCTGAGAAAGCAATGAAGTTAATTAGTAAAGAGGGAAGAACACTGAATTGGGCAACAAAAACTTGAATTCTAGTCTGTTCTCTTACTAATTAATTTGTGACCTCAGACAAGTAAGTTGCTCAACTTCCACGTGTCTTCATTTTCTTTTCTGTAAAACAAGATGATTGTACTAGATCACTTACTTAAATGATTTCTTCCTGCTGTAAAGTCTTCCATACTTTTCTATCATTTTTAGCCATGGCCATAAAAGAGTATTTTCGGTGATGAAAAGTCTTAGGACCTACTCTCTTAACAACTTTCAAATATACCATACAGCATTGTTAGCTATAGTTACATGAAGTACATTACATCCCCAGTACTTATTTATCTTATAACTGGAAATGCGTACCTTTGGACCACCTTGATTCAATTCCCCTACACCCACCGTCCTTCTACTTCCTGATCGTTCTGCTAAATCATGCCTTTTTCTGTTTAACAACAATAATAAAACATTAATATCCGGTGACAACTTCCAAAGCAAATCATTTCCAGCCCAGTAGTACTTTTCACTTCTGTAAACACTTATCGAACAAGTTTGTTACCATTCTAAGTAGTGACGATGCAAAGACAAAAACAGAACAAAACAAAACGCAGTGATTTCATAATCTAGTTAAGATATAGAAAAAAGGAAGTGTAGTTTATTATAAATATAAGTAATAAAAATTTTTAAATGTTAACCTTAGACAAAAAGTCAGCCACCTATTTCTCCAGCAAAATGGGTTTATTCAGGTACAACAAAGACTTGCAATCCGGAACATGCGGCCATGTGGGCCACATGCAAGTCTGCTAAAACAAAGGAACAGGAGCTCTTCTATAGAGCAGCGGAAGAAGTTGCGAGGGCGGTTACAAGGAGTTCTCCATGTTATGCTTCATGAATGACATAGGGCACTGCATTTAAATGAGGTTTCTGTTTACTTTTTTTTCTACAAGCATTAGAGAGTGATAAATGTTATAGAGATCTATATATTGCAGCTCAGAGGAGGGATGCTTAACCCATCTGGGCATGAGGCATCAGGCACCAGGGAAGTTCTCCTAGAGGAGAAAATATCTAAAGTCAAGGTTGAAGGGTGAGCAGGAATCAGGCAAATGAAGAAGGTATAAAAGGGTGATCCAGACAGAGGCACCGGCCTGTGTAAAAGCAAGGACTATAAATCATGCAGGACGGCTAGAGCATAAAGGTGTTGTGTTTCTATTAGTCCACTGAGATATTATGGCCACAGAACCTGGAAGCACGTAGGAACGCTTTTTTAAAAAATATATATTTTTATTGATTTCAGAGGAAGGGAGAGGGGGAGAGAGAGAAACATCAGTGATGAGACAGAGTCATTGATTGGCTGCCTCCTGCATGCCCCCTGCTGGGGATCGAGCCTGCAACCCAGGCATGTGCCCTGACCGGGAATCCAACCTTGATCTTCTGGATCACTGGTCGATGCTCAACTGCTGAGCTTCGCCAGCTGGCCTGAACACATTCTTAATGTTTCCTTAAGCTGGGTAGAGTAACCCATTTTATATATTATTTTTTAAAACAAAAAATTATACCATTGACTATCCCATCTCACAACTTCTTTTATAGTTATTTGTGAGTTAGGTGTTTGTGGGAGCCAAAGGGAGTTTCATTTAGAGAAAATTTTTTTATGTAAACAAGCTACTGAAATTTTTTTTTACTCTACTAGGAATGGGAGCTCTATAGCTCAGTCACATGTTTAAGGCTAGACAATGAGAATAGGACTAGGTGGTAAGAAGACATCAGAGGGTCTCAGGATGTTTGGGGGTCAGGGGAGGAGTAGGCATTTAGTGCATAGACTATCTTAGAAGCCCAGGAGAAGCCCAGGCTTTATTCAAGGGTCGCATTGTCTTAGGATAGTGATTTTCAACCTTTTTCATCTCATGGCACATATAAAATAATTACTAAAATTCTGCGGCACATCAAAAAATATATTTTTTGCCAATCTGACCAAAAAAAAAAAGGTATAATCTTGATTCATTCACACCGGCCAGCTATTCTTGTGTTGGCTGTTGCCATTTTTTTAGTTGACAATCTAAAGGAAGAGAGGTCAGCACCCCTCACTAAATAGTCAGGTATTGTATGTTTTAAAAATTCTTGTGGCACACCAGTTGAAAATCGCTGACTTAGGGCATGTTCCAAGAGAACTAGTAATGTGCCCTTTTCTGGAAGCAGAGAAGAGTGCATCATTAGCTTACTAACTCTATTTTATTTAGCCGGTCTCATGGAAGTTTTCTCACTCTGACCACATCTCACAAAAATGTTCTTACTTGTGGAGTATGGAAATCAGATGTTCCTGCATGAGCTCTCTTGTGTGAGATCAGCCCTTTGTGTCACACTCTGCAAGGAGAGTCACGTCAGGTAACATGTCCACTGTAGCGGCTGTGGTTACCATCGCCTGTAGCTGTCACTCTCTTTTTCAGACTACTGTGTGCAGTGTGAAAAAGCGGCCTGATTTCTCCACTTCAGGCCAATGGGAGGTAGTCACAGAATCCGAAGGGAAAAAGGAAGTGGGTGTCTTCGATGGAGTCATGGTTTGCACCGGCCATCATACCAATGCTCACTTGCCCTTGCAAAGCTTCCCTGGTGAGTATCCTACCAGGAAGAAAGACCCTCGAACCATACCTGTGACCTGACCCCTGAGGAATGGGGGGATTTCAGTCTTAGTCATTTTTACCTTGGGATGAAATAAGGCTTATCCTAATTCTGCATGTTCTCCTGAAAGATGCTGGGAGGTAGACATATGGTAATTTTGGAGACTAGAGGAAAGTTAGAGAGCTCTATATTTAGTTTCAAAATGACTTTAGTTTTTCTAAGGATCAAAAGGAAAAACATGGAGTTGATATGCATTAGGTTGAGTAAGGATTTTCAGCAATCAAGGAAACAAATGGAGTTTATAAGGAAGAAATTAAAGCTTAAGGAAAGAATTTATTACAGTTCTGGGTCTGGACTTTTAGGCACAAGAGCATTCTATGTATATTCTAGAGTTTATAAAAATATATGCTCCAATTGAAATGGGAGTAGGTATTTAAAGAGGATGAGAGACAAAAGAGAATGGAGGTTTCCTGAAGCCATTTGTATATCTGAGTCTACAAGTCCAAAATACAAACAGATCCTGTTTATGATAAGGGAGTCTCAAGGTTCTGCCCTGAGGCTATGGGGGGAAATAGGCAAAAATATTCAGAAAGGCAAGTGTGCAGCTGAGTAAAAGGAGAGCATATGGAGAGTATATTTTAAACTCTACACACTGCAAAAAAAAAAAAATTGTCAAATGATATCAGATAAACACTTGATAATTATGTTTCCCTCTCTTGCAGGAATTGAGAGGTTCAAAGGACAGTACTTCCATAGTCGAGATTATAAGAATCCAGAGAGTTTCACTGGAAAGAGAGTCATTATAATTGGCATTGGGAATTCTGGAGGAGATCTGGCTGTGGAGATTAGCCACACAGCCAAGCAGGTTTGAATCAACAATTATTTACTTTGCTTTACCAAGAAAGCTGCAGGTGGACTCAATGGAGAGTATGGATACCTGCCCAGAGCTCATCAGTGCCAATGGCAAATGTAGGGCTTGGTTTCATTGGCAACATTATGATGGATGATATGATGGAGCCAAGGTTGCTAGTTAAATTCCCATCATTCGATTGGCCTCACACTAAGGAATTAGGTCATGACCACAGCTGTGCTCATAATCCCAATCAGATGTCTCCAGAGTGGGCCTCTAGCTTTCAGGAAGACCAAATAATTGATGGGAGAGCTTGTCAGAAAGCAGCACTCAGAAGTGTAGATCTTCTCTTGGCAAGCAGAAATGCCATGCTCTTATGTGAAGAAAGCACACTGGGTCATTGAAAGCTTTTCACTCATAGGATGGTGGGAGAATTTTCCTCTTGCCTCCACAGCTGGAAAAAAGAAGCAGTCTAATCTTTCTAAAGATGACATGCTTACCAGTATGCAAGTGTCCACACTGAGACATCTGCAGGCACCAGCCTTTTCATTTCAGTGAGGTAACACAGAATGTTTTCTCTAAAGTAATTTTTATGTCCTTGAGGTTTTTTGGTTTTGTATCATAGATTTTGAACTGAAAAGAAAATGTCTTCATTATAAATTCCTAGAAAAAAACATGTCATTTTAATATTTTGTTATTCATGTCTTTATTGAATCATAACTGTTGACAACAGTTAAATATCTGGTTGTTCTTTGGTAACTTTAATTAAGCTGTGCTTCTCCACAAATGTGTTTTAAATTACTATTTTTTTAAAAATAGAAGTTTAATGCCACAACTTTGTTAAATGACCTCTACTCAGAAACTCTGTTCAATAACACTTCTCAGTCATATCTCCGTCTATCACCACAAAAGCAATTTCAGATGCTCCATGAATTAATTCAACAAGCATTTATCAGGAAATAGCTATAGAAACAAGAAGGAGGAAAAATGTGTGTGGGTGTTATGATAAAAAGAATGTGCAAGGTATGTTGTGGGGACCCAAGGCTTGAGCCTTCTTTAATATCATTGGCTTGTCAGATGGTCAGTTAGAAGGGAGCTAGGCCTTCCATGCACTGCGGAATCGTAGATTGCCAAGGAACAAAGCGTCCAAGATGGGGTGGATATAGGTAGCTGTGTCTGACAGAGTCTGGGAAAACACATAGCAAAACGATGTCTGCCTAGCAGGGACAGCACTGTCACGCCACTAAAGCAAGCTGAAGAAACTCAATTGCTGGGTTCTGACTTTTTGCTTTACATGTTAAATTGTACTTATGAGAAGTGGTTTGTAAATCAAACATTTTAAATGAACCTATAAATTTCGGTGTATCAAGGACATCTTGCTGTAAGAATTCTTATGTTATAATGCTTTTGTGAAGAGAAAACATTCCTTTCTTGTATAACAATCTTCCTTACATTTGTTTCTTATAAATCCAAATTTGTAAATATGCTGTTTGCTTAAAAGAAGGCATAGATGGAAAATTGAAATGAGTACAATGATAACCATTAAGCATTTATTGAGTAGTTACTATATGCCACACCCTTTACAAAAACACTATTTCTCACAACAACCTTGTGCTATATGTATTATTGTCACTGTTTTATACACTGGAAACCTTTTAATTGAGGCTCTGAGCATTTACATTACTCATATACTTATATAACAAAAGTTACATAGACTGCACACAAAACTATTTGATTCTTAAGACCATGCTTTGCTCTTTCCATTGTGACATGTAAAAGTGCTTAATTGTGACAGCGCTAAATTAAGGTCACTGTTGGTGAGAATATATATGTGAAGAGAATATATGTGTGTGATAATACATGATTATCCCTAAATGTAGACACATTACCGTTTTACTTACAGCTAAGACGAAAGACCATAAAGCAAGGTACTTACATACTTTACAACTTGAAACTGTCTCTAGAGAATTTTGTAATGTAGAGAAAGTGATACTTTTGCCAGGGAATTCAATAGCAAACTTTTAGCAGCTCTGACCATGGACTTTAGCCCGAGCACATAAAGAGACTGAACAGCTTCTTGTTATTCTACTAGCAATCTTCAGTTTTTCCATGAAATAATCAATGAAACACTTTCTAAGTACAGACTTTGGCGTCAGTAAGACCTGCGCTGGAAATTCAGCTCTGCCACTTACTAGCTGTATGATCTGAGGCAAGTTAGGCGTCTTCTCCATGCCTCTCACCCATAAAATGGGGACAGTACCTACCTCAAGAGGTGGTTGTACTGGTTAAATAAGATACAGATAAAGGACCTAGCATAGTGACTTACAGTTCACAATTCTCAATAAATGGAAGTGATGATGATGATGAGTTGAGTAGACTAAAAGATGTGTAGGCTACACCTTCCAACCTGGAGAAAACAGTTGAAGGGACAGAAAATAAGTGTTTAACTTCACACATATATTCTCACCAATGGTGACCTCAAATGCTATCCTAATTAAGCACTTTGACACAGTTGAAAGAAAAAAAAAGTTAAACATCAATATAAGTATAAATAAGGGGTTTTTTTGTAATAATGCAACCAATGTCAAAGGCAAAAGAGACTGAGGGTTTTGAATTAAAAGATCTCCAAGTTGCTTTCAGCTTTACTGTTCCATGGTTTTAAATGAGTAGAACAGGTGGTAAGTGCTAGATAGTTCAGAGGATGGAGAGAAAATTGTCAGCCAGAACAGTCAGCAATGTCTTCATGGAGGAGGCAGGCTTGATCTGGATCTTAAAAATGAATAGGCTTGCCCTGGCCAGCGATCTCAGTGGTTAGAGCATCGGCCTGCACGCCAAAGGGCCGAGGGTTCAGTTCAGGTCAAGGGCATGTACCTGGGTTGCAGGTCTGCTGCCCGCTCCCAGTGGGGGTGCACATGGGAGGCAACCAATCGATGTGTCTCTGTCTCCCCTCATTTCCACTCTATCTAGAAATCAATGGGAAAAATATTCTCACTCCTTGGGTGAGGATTGAAAAACAGAAACAAAAACAAGCGAATAGGCTTTGGAGAAGGAAGAGGCTAGGCGCTTTTCAGGGAGGCGTAATGACATTAGACAAACATATGGTGGTGAAAAGCAAGATGTATTTGTGGTCAGTGAATGCGCCAATTTAATTATAAGTTAGTGTCTGAGAAGGAAAATAGCAGGAAATAAAAAAAGATTGTGCAGGCACTGAAAAGCCAGATGAATGAGTTTAAACTTACTCTTGAAGAAAGCTGGGTACTTTTAAGGGATTATGAACCAGAGAATGGTAAAAGCAAACCATTCCCCCCCCCCCC